GAAAAAAAAAAAAATCCCGAATTATCAGAATGTGGTGGCAGATGCCTTTAATCCCAGCTACTCGGAGGGTGAGACATGAGAATCATTGAACCTGTGAGGCGGAGGTTGCAGTGAGCTAAGATCACACTACAGCACTTCAGGCTGGGGAACAGAATGAGACTCTGCTTCAAAAAAAAAAAAAAAAATTAGGTATTTAATTTTTATCATGACTAACACTTTAGTAATAAAAGATATAATATATAGTTATTGAATTCTGGAATATAGTTGGTGCTTGCATTTATTTACTTATATAGTGTATTTGTGCTTATTTTATAGTTTATGGAACAAAGATTTAGTATATATAGCCATTTTTGCATTTTAACTAGCTGCTGCCTAATTATTACAGGAATGAGTATGGAGTTTCAGGTATTATAATTGGTTTTGGTACATATTTTCAACCTTTAGATCGTCTGTAACTATTGAGCCATATATGACATTCTTTTTCCTTGCAGTGAATGTCATAGCTTGTTCATATTGGGGAGTTGTAGGCGTGGAAGTCATATTGCTTGCAGCTAGATATTATGTATGGAGGTAATGTTGGATTGTTACCTGTTTAAATTTTTTAGCTAAAAAGAATTTCATATGGATTACATGATGACCCCAAAAACAAAAAAAAAAGCCCGTGGGAAGTGTCCATTTATGTTAGAAATTACTACAAGAACATTAACGGATACTTTTCTTTAATATGATCACACAGCATACAGCACATCTCTCTTTACATTAGATTCCATGCTATTAATGAACCATGGGGAATTATGGGAGACATCACTAAGATCAGGAACAGGCAGGTTTTTACCATCCCTCCTTCATGTTACCGTTGTACAGTGGTATTAATAATACAGTAGAAAAGATGAAGTCAGGCCATTAGAATGGTGATGAAGGGCCGGCGCAGTGGCTCACCGGCCTTATCCCAGCCTTTGGGAGGCAAGCAGGAGATCGCTGATGGTCAGGGAGTCAAGACAAAATCTGGTCAACATGGTGAAACCCCGTCTCTACTAAAATACAAAGAATTAGCCGGGCGTGGTGGTGCGTGTCTGTAGTCCCAGCTACTCAGGAGGCTGAAGCAGGGAAATCATTGAACCCGGGAGGTGGAGGTTGCAGTGAGCCAGATCATGCCACTGCACTCCAGCCTGGTGACAGAGCAAGACTCTGTCTCAAAAAAAAAAAAAAAAAAAAAGAATTGGTGATGAAGAAATAAAACTCCCTTTCAGATAATATGATAGTATATCTAGTATATCTGGAAAACCTCCAAGAATCAATAAAATCAATGAAAAATTTTTGTATGGTTGCAGTCCATAGCATTAACAAGCTAAAATCAATACCATTTATATATACAAACATCAACCAGCTCTACTGTAAAAATCCCAATTTATAGTAGCAGCAGAAACAACTAAATACTTAAGAATGAAATTAATAAGTACTACACAGTCTACATGGGGAAAATTAAAAACACTTCTGAAAGATACAAAGTAGACCTGTACAAATGTAAAATGTGTTATTCTTGGATAGGATGAGTTAATATAATACTTTCTAATTTAATTCATAAATTTAACACCATCCCAATAAAAATATTAGTAAGCTTTTTGACAGCATTAGAAAAGTTGCTACTAAAAAAAACTTGCTACCTAAAGCTCATAGGGAAAAGTAAATATGTGAGTATAACCAGGAAAGCTGTGAAAAGGAAAAACTGAGGGCAGCTAGCCTTACTAGATATCAAAACATACTATAAAGCCTTTACAAGTGAAGCAATGTGCTACTGGTACATGAATTGACAAATTGTTCAGAGGAATAGACTAGAAAGCCCAAAAATTGACTCAGGTACATACAGAAATTTACTGTATGGTAAAGGCATCTCAAATCACTGGTCAGAGATGAACTTTTGAATTACTAGCACTGGGACAAGTCGTAGCCATTTATAAAAAGAATTAGGCCACACCATATACAAAAACAACCTCTCAATGGATTAAGGATCTAAATGTGTAAACAACAAAACCATGTATTAGAAGACATTACTGAATTCTTCTGTAATCTCAGCAAAAAATAAAAAAGATTTCTATGACTC